TTCGTTTGAAGTGTGGTCCCGAAAAATCTTCGTTTGAAGGGCTGTCTGGCCCTTCCCCTACCCCTACCCCTCCAACCAAAAGAGAATCGAGACACCCCTACCCCTTCACGTGAACGCGTGAAACGGAGGGGTAGGGGAAAGGGTAAGGGCTAAGGGGTAGAATTGGGATTGGGCCTTAATGTGCGCGATGTCATCTCACAGTCTGAAGTGTCTGTCATAGCAAATCAACACATGCTGTTGTGAATAATTAAGCGAAGTGTATTCTCATAGGATAAGAACACGCAGTCTCATTAATAATTTAATAGACACCGACGCGTCATCGATGTACTATAGTCCATTGCCACGTCACATTGTGACGTCAACACGATGTAGATTTTAAACCCGGAAGATTAAAATAACGCAAAAAAGCTTAAAATTAACCAGTTTTCGCCAACAGTTAAAATGATCGGATGCTAACATTGCCTTCTATGATGTGCAACACAAACACCTCTGCTAAAATCTCAGAAAAAGTAGTCTGGGGTTTCATGACCCTTTAAAAAGAATAGATGTAGAATTTGTGCTGTAGCCCTGTAGCACCATGTTTGTGGTGTTTATTTTTTTGCTTTTAATCTCCCAAAGATAATTCCGCTGTTATCCAATTAACGCCTGCATTACCCTCCTATTTTAACAGCAGTAATCAGCTCGCACTAATGCTGCAGGTATCAGAAGCGGCCCCGCTCTCAGATCTCAGCGCCCAGTGCTGGAACAGTTACGCCAAGCCACTAGAACAGCGTTTCTTCCTCCTGTCATCCTTTAATCGGCTCCATTTACATCACTTGCGAAGACTATATCACTCCTTGACACCCTTGAATTGCATTTCATCCAGTGACTTTTGCCCTCTGTTTGTCCGTGTGTCCGCCCAATCAAGCGCCGAAATGTGCAGCTGAGGTCCGTCCCTTCCGCTCGTGATGGTGGCCCATTATTGTTGCTATGGGAACAGTCTCAACTTTGCTGTCTGTGCTGATTTCCTCCCTCTGCACCACGTCGTCAACACGTGAGCGCACAGGTTGTTAAACTGGTAACATCTGCTGCACTTCGTCAAAAAGCAAACAAATTGATGATGAGAAAGGAAGTGCTGTAGCTGGTGGGATCTAGTGAAATGAAAGGTCAAGGTGGCCGTCTGATGCAGGATTTTCTGAATTAGGAGAGTGGTGTCTGTCCTGTGATTTAAGGATAATCTTCTCAACAATAACTAATCCGCGGTCCACTGGTTAGGTTGTTATTATCATCTCTCATTCATCGAGAGCGCTTGCCTCCACGAGAGACGAATGAGAGCTAAACTGTTTGGGTGAATCTCACAGATGCAGGTTTGCGTCATATTTCATCCAAAAGAGGATAAAAAAAATAGTTTTACATCAAATTCAAGTTTAATTCAATTCAAGTTTATTTGTACAGCGCTTTTCACGATACAAATCATTGCAAAGCAACTTTACAGCAAATTAAGTTTCTACAATGTTTAGTGGTAGCTTATCTCAGGTGTTCTGGATCCAGACTGAACAGAGAAACAAATAGAGACATAATTAGCGTAGCTGCTGTTCCAACCAAGCAAAATTGATTTGTTTAACCCAAACTAAAGAATAATAATGTGCAAAATAAAAAAAATAAAAGCCTTTTTATTATGTCATTTATTTTCACAATGAATCAACCTAGAAAGTGTCTTTGCAAGGATTGAATGCATGTTTACGATGAATTTCCATAAAATATATATCGCTTGTGGTCTTTCTTGTATTTATTCACCACGTGATATTGATTTGATTATGAAAATGCTGCTTTGTTGGAACAGCTTCTCCCTTCAAAGCAAATCATATTATATTTATTCATGGTGGTACAGCTGCTGTTTGAGCTGTCTCTTTTTTATTTGCTCTGGTTATACTTTTGTTTACATTGGCATAAAAATAACTATGACAGGCATCAATATAGCTGCTGTTTTCTTTGTTTTTTTTATATATACAGTACATTTTTCTTGTATTGTGCACGCTAAAAAGGTCAAGTCTTTCCATCAGTCGTTCTGTTTCGCACCTTATCTAACTGTTCTCTTTCCTCCCTCTGTTGTCCAGGTTTCCTCTTGTTCAAGGATTTCTGCATGAACGAGATCGACGAGGCCGTTCCGCAGCTGAAGTTTTATGAGGAGGTAAAATTGGTTTAAATCTATATGTTCCTTTCATTGCTAACACGCCAGTCTTCGTGGCATTTGTGTGGGTTTTTTGCTGAATAGTTTCCAAGTTGTGTGTTTGACCTGACCTGTCCTCAATCTGGTTGTGACCTGAAATGGCACAGCTCAGTCGTGAAGTTTTGTTCCCCTCCTATTGACCTGAACAACACCATGTGTCCTATTAAAGAGCGTGAGGTTGTGTCTGAGATGACCATAATCTTGTTTTGTCCCCTTCAGATTAAAGAGTACGAGAAGTTGGATTCAGAAGAAGAGAGGCTAACTCGCAGTCGACAGATTTATGACGTGTACATAATGAAGGAGCTTCTGTCATGTTCACATGTAAGAAAACATTTGGCAGAATAAAATGATCACTAGCAGTCATTTCACATGCATATGGCAAAGGGCTGCATTATTAAGCAATACTAAAGATTGTCTTTTGCGTTCAACTACTTTTAAAACGTGTCACTTACAGCATGTTATTTAGATCTTTTCTTGTTTTTATAGTTTTATGTATAAACCATTTATCTTGGATCAATAGATGACCATGCAAAAAAAAAAAACAAATATAATAATATAATCAGTATAAATGGTATTGTAATGTGTATAAAAATTATTCTATTTATGATATTATTTGTTTTTAAACAATTTTATTTATATATTATACATTTATATACACTTTTTCTTTTTTCTTTTTACATTTATTTACATTCTTTATATATATATATATATATATATATATATACACACACACACATACATGCATACATTCACACGCACACACACAATATTATTCTTCATTATTTAAAACATATATTTATTTATTTTTTAAATATATATATATATATATTTTTTTATAATATAAAAATATAAGGGGAATATATGGGGAACAGGGTTCTATAATGCTGCTAGCTGGAGGGACTATGGTTCTTATTGTCCAATGCAGATCCGGAGACTCCATTCGGATGTTTCTGTTGAGAAAACAAGTGTCCCATTAGCCTCCGTCAGTCTCTAGTCATAGCTTTTCAGAAACAGGAAGCCTGAATGAACCAACACAATGGCCTATAGGACACTCAAGGCCTGTGCGATTATGTCACAGTGTTTTATGTTGTGATAACCGGGAATGCTTAGGAGGCTAATGTCAAACTTGACGTTTGTTCAGGGGGAACAGTTCTTGTTGTTTTAGTGTTTTGACCTCCCTTATCGCAAAATGTCACTTAATCTACCTTCCTTTCTCACAGCCCTTCTCTAAGAAGGCAGTAGACCATGTCCAGACTCACCTAGCAAAGAAACAAGTTCCTCCAAATCTCTTTCAGGTAAGTCCCCCAACACGAAATAAAATCTAACCTGTTTTTAGGAAGTAAAGTGTTTGGGTAGCAGGACTCTCAACAGATCCTGATGCATTTGTTTGCTTTGCTTTTTCCAGCCATACATAGTTGAGATCTGTGACAGTCTTCGAGGAAAGATCTTTCAGAAGTTCATTGAAAGGTGACAGACGGCTACAAAAATACTTACTTTTTCCCTTTTTTGTTGCATGAGAATGATTTTAACATCTTAAAACCTTTCGTTCCACTCTATAGCGACAAGTTCACACGTTTTTGCCAGTGGAAGAATGTAGAGCTCAACATCCATGTGGGTTTTTCCTTGCATTTGTTGCTTTTTATTCACCTGTAAGTTGTTTGTTTTCCTTTATAAACTGGTTCTCTTTACTATTGCTCTTGATTTTGCACATAGTTGACGATGAATGACTTCAGCGTGCATCGGATCATCGGCAGAGGGGGGTTCGGAGAGGTTTACGGATGCAGGAAAGCAGACACAGGGAAAATGTAAGTGCTGTTGTTAGGATCAAACCAAAAAGAAGCCAAATTTGGGCTTGCATAAAAACATCTGCTCATTTACTGTGTGTCTCAGGTATGCCATGAAGTGTTTGGATAAAAAGCGAATCAAAATGAAGCAGGGAGAAACGCTGGCGCTCAACGAGAGAATCATGCTGTCGTTGGTTAGCACCGGGGTGAGTGACACATACAAACTCAGACCACACACTAACATCCCTGTCTCACTTGTTTGACCCTCTCTGTCTCTTTCTCTCTCTCTGCAGGACTGCCCTTTCATAGTGTGTATGACATATGCCTTCCACACTCCTGATAAACTGTGTTTCATCCTGGACTTGATGAATGGTAAGGGCAGCCATTATCTCTTTGGCCTGCTATAGGCTTGTTCACACAACGTGATTACACATTACAAAAATATGAGGCATTTTTTTCTAACTAAATCTATTTAGTTTAATGCCTAATGCTAAAACTTCAAATACATGATTTTTTGCCACCAAAAAAAATTGGACTCTGTCATATCATTCAAATACTATTGTAATTTTTTTATGTTTTGAAGTAGATTTTTATATTTTCTGTTTTCGCTGTAATTTTAGCTTATGATTTCAGGTTTTTTAAAGTATAGTTGGTTTAGTATAATTTTTTGTATTTATTCATCATTATTTATTAGTTTATTTAGCTTTAACTTAATGAAAATGAGAAATATTGCCTTGGCAACTAACTGAAATGAAATAGGTTTTTAAATAAAATTATTGTATTTCAGTTAACATTTATTTTATTTCAAGTAATGAAAATGTTTGTTATGGTTTTAGTTAACAATATTAACCCTGGTTCATAGTGATTTCAGTGGTTTTGCTTTAAATGCATGAGCTTATTTTTGTGCTGAAAGTTTGAACTGAATACGTGAATACCATGAAGTGTATGAACTGAAGCGTGTGAGTATCATGAGCATCCTCAAATCTTACAGATCGAAGCCAACACCTCCCAGTGTGAGATTGTAAAAGCCCATTTAGAGCTCTAATTTTGGCCTTTCTCTATAACTTAATGTCAGCTTGAATATGGGGCGGAACTTCCTCTTCAGACACTCACACTTCCTATATCTGCGCTGCAGCGTGGGTCACTTCTCTGAACGTCCTTCTGGATTTGTGAAACAGTCACAGCACTTGCACAGGTCTTCAGAAACAGAGGAACATACTCTACAAAAGCATTTGGACACTGATGAGTCCATTAATAATAACCCCTGCTACATATCAGTATGATAAACATTTTCCCAGAAATGTCCAATGTTGAAGTGGCTGTTCATGTGACGTCTCTCCATCAAATTACTCTTACAGGGTAGACTAGAAGATCCTTAACTGACCTATTATTTGTAACATAATTAGAGAAGATAAGTGTTTTGCAAACTGCAATTAAATATAAATGTCATTGCTCAAAAAAGCTGTTGGGGAAATTTCAGTAAATTCAGAATGTGAATTTAATCTAGAAGTAATCATCAGGTTTCCCAACAGAATCGCTGGGGATTTCAGGGATTTCTTTTTTATTTTATTTTTTATTTTTTATTTTATTTTATTTTATTTTTTGTATGGTTTATTTTATTTTGCTGTATTTTAGATTTTTTTTTTTTAAATCCCCTACAAATGACTGAAATTGTGGTAACACTTTACAATAAGGTGTCATTTGTTAACATTGGTTAATGTATTAAATAACATGAACAAACAGTGAACAATACATTTATTACACTATTTATTAATCTAATTATTAAAAAAATACAGTTCATTGTTCGTTAGTTCACAGTGCATTAATTAATATTAACAGACACAATTTGTGATTTTAATAATGCATTAATGCTGAAATTAACATTAACTAAGATTAATAAATGTTGTAAAGTGTTGTTCATTCTTAGTTCGTGTTAACTATGAAGTTAACTAATGTTAACTAATGATCCTTATTGTAAAGTGTTACCGAAATAGTAATGAAGTTAATTGGTTACTTCAAGGTTCAAAATCACTGATTCATGAGATTTATTGTGATTATATTATATTGACTGCTCGTATACAATTATAACACTGTGTAATTGTTTGATATTATACTTGTCTTTCAGGTGGAGACCTTCACTATCACCTGTCTCAGCACGGCGTCTTCAGCGAGAAAGATATGCGCTTTTATGCAGCTGAGATCATACTGGGCCTCGAACACATGCACAATCGATTCGTCGTCTACAGAGACCTCAAGGTAAGGTCATCGCCGTCCCAGTCGTTCCTTTTTCACAGAGAAAGAATCATTCGTACCGTCCTCTGTCACTGCAAAGCCGGTTGATCTGTGCTTGCGATTCCCTGTTGCCGCTGAAAAGGGAAAATGAAATGTTCCATTGAGTTTGTGTATTTTGCAACGTAAGCTTGTATCTGTCCTGCGTCGTCGTCTGAGGTTATGTTTTATTAAGTTTGGCTGAGCTGTCTCTCTTGGCAGCACTGTTTATTGTCTTTAAACGGAAAAGTACGTCATATGATGGAGCGAGTCGAGGTTAACCTACCGTTCCACACGTAGAGTGTAGCCTTCCGTTCCGATGACCGCGAATATCCCGTACTTTGTCGACCCTCCGTGTGGAAGTAGCAAGAGTGCAGCTATGCGATCGTTGTGAATTATGCAATTTTAAGTGAGATGTTTGGGCTTCACGCTGCCAGATTGCTGAGAATATGCAGGATCTTCCCTGGCAAGCTCCTGAAACGAGACACTGCACACGCGAGCGGGGCGCATACGGTGAGCGAACGATCCTGTTGTTTTTCCACAGTATCACTGCTGTTTGTGTAGAAGAAAAACTTGTCCCTCTGAGCAACGTTCCTGAGAGCCAAAATACATGGCAAGATTTTCAGTGCAGTATGTCTCTTAAAGGGATAGTTCACCCAGAAATGAAATTCGTCAGTTCACTTGTCCTCATGTTGTTCCGATCTTCTATGCTCCATTTTTTTTCCTGGAACATTAAAGGAGATGCTTTTTAATAGTCTTTACGCAGGTCTTTTTCGAGACTGGTAGTTTAAAGCTCTTAGGAAATCTCATTGCTCAAAATCTAATGCTAGACATTGTTTAATTAACTTTGTATTTGTAATTTTGTTCTATTTTACTTATCTGTGCTTGAAATTTTTTGGGGGTTTTTTTGTTCTTTTTTTATTGCTGGCAATTCACTTGTCTTTCAATTGTTTGACCTTTATTAGTTATGCCACTAGTACCACTAGCTGTGGTATCGAGGAAATGCTTAGTGTTCTTTAAATAATAAAGAACCGATCTGTGACTCAAAATCCGTAATATGATCTGATATGTGTGATCCGTTGAACTCTTACTCTCTTGACTTGTTATTTGAAGAAAGAATGCAATCACAGAAGTTTTTGATCATGCTGATTTGTCCGCAGTGAAGTTCAGCTGATGTCTTTTTTTATTCGGGCTAGAATCCCTGAACATTAAACATCAAATATATTCTCATTGGCTGTTATTGTGTGACGCTGTGCAATGTAAATGCTTTCTGTTGCGTATAGTGTCAAATAGTTTTTTGCTGGTAAATTTCAGCTTTTTGCTTAGAGAAAGTGTCATGGCAATTTTCTATTTCAATAAAGGTATGAGACAAAAGTCTTTTGAAGATTTATTTTCTTGCAAGAAAAGGTCAACAGTCATACAGATTGGCTGCAGAGTGTGACCAAAGAGGAAATACCCAAACTCTGCTTTGATCTCTTCCAATCATAATGCATGTTCAACATATATGTCCATTTAAGGTGTCCAACTATGTCCTCCAGATGAGCTTCTAAGAATTTAATGCAAATTAGGGTTGTGACTAGGGCTGCACGATAAATTGAAATGGAATCGAGATCGCGATTCGACAGAAGCTGCGATTGTCATGCGTATCTTGCAGTGAAGCACGGTTCTGTGATCAGCAGTAAATCTCCATCCGAAGGCCAGAGGGCGCTCTCGCGCTGAAACTCCAAATATGCCCCGAAGAAGTAATCCAGGAAATGCCTATCGCTGCAGCTGAATAAACAGAAGATTAAACTGCTTTCATTGATTCAACGTGAATAATAAACAC